TGGCCATTACTATCCATTTGTCACCATCAAAATTTGTTTTGAAAATAATAATAATGATTTATTATGGCATTTTAATATTTGATAATTTCCATATGCAATTCCTATCTCATATGAGAAAGATTGAGAGGTGATACTAGGTTGACAAACATAGAACTCACATCAATAGTGAAGAAATGTATACAAATTTGGTTTTTGCAAGTGCTAGGGCTTTCTCCAAAATTGATGCGTCCTAATCTAACCATATTATGATGAGACATTACTGCTAAATGTAGCTTAACTTGTTTGTTTCCAAAAGTAAGCAAATGCTTACCTGGTTTAAATTTATTAGATTTATTATATCATATTTTTGGACTTTGAATATGAAGACATAATTGGTGTACATAACTTTTAAAAAAGAATGAAAATGTCTTGTAAAGCCTGAATGACAAATTATTCTAATGAAATATCTAGATTGTTGTTTTTCTAACATCAAGTCCAAAGGAGTTTTGAGAGAGATCTCAATGGAGAACTCAGGTGTGATGGTATTAAAGAAGCTAGAGAATCTTTACTCATAGATGCATTAACATATGGCAGGGAAAGCCTATCTAATACAATGCATATATGTTAAAACAATATAAGTCATTATTTATCGTTTGTGGTGTTTTCTAGTTCTTCTGAACTGCATAATCCCTCAAGTATTGGCTTGAAGTTTGCAGAATATCTGAAGTGCATAATGTTTTCTAGTTCTTATGTTGCACATATCCACCCTTATGCTTTTCTAAAATGAAAAATAATATGAATTTTGTTACTATCTTTTCTATTTTATTTTTTGTTTATATTGAGTTGTGGCATATAAAACTTTACATTTACAGTAAATGACAGGACGAAATACATTCAAACGAGCTAAGAAGGTTGTATCAAGGGGTGGGTCTAGTAGAGAATCTAAAACACCTTCTACTCTAATCCACCTAGAATGAGTGCAGTGGCACTCAACAATCACCACGTCATTTTAGTTGTGAATAGACTCACTCCAAATGATGGGATATGACTCATAGGTTTGATTTAATCATTTCTTTGAATAAGTATAAGTAATTATGTAATTATTATTACAATATGTGTTATGCACAGATGAGCAGGGTGTACCTGTATGTCGTAGGGGATGCACCACATGCATTGACATATAAACCATGCCACCAGGTACACGTGTTCATATAGAGGTGAATGAGAATAATGTGCCATGCAACATTCTAGAGTCTGTTCTATTAGGATCATATCTAGGTGTCAATTCTAGAGTTCTTGTACTAGCACCCATATCCTTCCCATATTAGAGAACTAAGGGTATGGAGCCCTTTAAGAAAAAAAATGTTAGTTGAAGTGGAGGTAAGCAAAATATTATATAAATTTCAATATTAAGGTTTATGTTATGAGTAATAAAATGTTTCTCAAAGTTTGCATTTTTTGGACATATACACCTCAAGGAAGCTCACAAATGGTATGTAAAATTTCACATTTTATTTTAACGTTTGCTATTTGAATTCTAATAATTTTCAATCTTCTTATAATTGATAAGGGTGGCAATGAAATCTCTTCTAAAAGATGATGTTATGGGAGAAAGAGAATGACATTTTGAAGATAACCCATGTTTGTGATAAATTGTTTTAAAATAAATCTTAATATGAAAGTACTTTTTTGGGGTGTTACTCAAAGTTTTGATATTATAGATTACCAACAAATATGAATGATGATATTCTTCTCTTTTGGACATATCAATGAATTAAGACTTCAAATATAATACTTTGGATGAATTTTTGTGCGTTTGCTTGTAGTGAGTTTATTTTTGTTTGTTTCAAAGAATTTTTCTATGAATAAGCAGAAATATTTGACGAATGGTGTGTGACATTCATCATGAGCTTGTCTTGTTGAATGGGGAGGGTTTTTTTTTTGGTTTATTTCTCCTCTTATTATTAATCATGTGATCATATGGTTTTTATTGTTCTTTATTCATTTCGACAAGTATTTTCCTTTTTTGCAACAGTTCAAGCCTAGATGTATAAATTCCATTAGCATACATGAACATACAAACTTCTTTAACTTGATATCAAACTATAGCTTAAGACTATATTTGCATTATCAATTATTATTCACCACGTGCTCATGAAGTCATACTGTAAATGAATTTTCTTTGTCTAGTTAGGTTGTGTAAAGGCTCATTAAGTTTTGTTAGGCTTTGAGTCAATAAGCTTTAGTTATGATCCCTATATGGTTCATTTAGAATCAAGGGTTCCCTCACCCTAGGTGTTGCAATATGGATGGATGGTGATATTAAGCCAAGGGTATGATTTTATGATAAACCTTGGCATGCTTCATTGCAAGATTAATCTCATATTCAGTAAATAAAATGGCTTTGATGCATAAAACCCATTTGTAAAGATAAACTTTTGTCAACCCTTAAAATGGGATGTGCTAAGATTTGGTTTGTTTTCTTGGTTTTATATGGAGTGGAATGAAACCCATAAGTTTTGATATTGTGCTAAGCTATTCACAAACTATTTTGTTTTTTTTTTTTTTTAATTTTGGAATATTGTGGAGGTTTTAACTGCCATAAATGTCTAGATTTGTGGTGGTTTAATCCTCCAAAATTTTGATTTTTTTTTTAACTAATAGTTGTGGTTATGTCTATTGCAATTATGTAATTTTGTAGCAGTTTAAATCGCAGTTATAACTAGATCGTCGTATATCTACCCTAGCGGTCATAGAACTGCCGCAGAAGGTCTTTGTAGCACATTACAATCATAGCAGCCGTGCAGCGGTTCTATAACCGTTGCAAGGAAATTTGTGACGGTTAAAACCATCGAGAAAGGTCTAATTTTGTGCTACAGTAGCCTTTTTTCTAGTAGTGCTTGATTAAAATCAACTTTAATCTCGCAACCAAATAGCCCTTAAAGGTATTCGTTTGTAATTATTAGAGTATAAACCCTTAGTGGTATTCATTTGTAATTTTTAGAGAATAAATTAAATGAAAGATAGTGATTATAACAGTTTATGCTTGATTTAAAGTAACTAACTATAAGCATTTATGTATGAGATTTATAGTATACGAAATATATATTTTTAACTAATATAACATTTTCTCAAATCTATTGAATTTCAATTGAAACAAAACGTCATAGCTTGAGACTTCGGCTTCCTCATCTGGCTGCCAAGTGATGTGCCGCCACATTAGGGGGTGTCAAAATCGGAGTGATAGGCCGAGTTCGAGTCAACCTGACATTGGCTTGCTACTCAAAATGCAACCCAAACACGGACCTCATGTTGACGTCATCGTTACTTCCAATCCAACTGCAGAATGGACAACGACCTCCCTCATGTCGTCATCGTTGTTTCCGATCTAACTACAAAATGGCAAGATACCTGTCATCAGCCCATTGTTGTCATTGCTTTCGATCCAATTGCAGCTGAACAACAAGCTCCCTATCATCGGCCCGTCGTCGTCGAAGGAGGCAAAGAACGTCGGGACAAGAGGAAAAGCAAACCTTAGTCCCTACCGTTGGACCGTCGCATCATTACTTGACTTATTTCTGATCCAACCCTTCCGGTTTCCATCATCGAAGGAGTGAATCTGGTCTGTTTAGGGAAATTGGGTCAGACCGGGTCAACTTCGGGTTAGCGAGTTGACCCGGACTTGACCCGATTTTTTAATCAAGTCGATTTTGGAAACTCGACCCGACACGTCTGCCAAACGAGTTGACCCTAACATGGAATTTTCATGTTAGGTTTGGGTCGGGTTTTCGAGTCGTATCAAATATTGACTCCCCCAAGCCACATGATGTCTTCTTCAACATTCACTTTTGCATGAGGTCGAAAAATAGCAAACCATTCGCTTTTTCATTAACAAAACAAGAGCACAAGAAATTCCCTCACACCCACAATTTTCCCATTACCACATGCAAATTTCTTTCTTCCTTGCCTTCAACTTTACTGACTCGAGCGAACTTAACTTATTCCACGTGAAGAGTCGTGTCTGTCTCGCACTTCATCACATTGCTTCACTCGTTCGCTTACTCGTAGTCACCAGCTCGACAGGTCTCTCTCGCTCGCCAGGTCTCTCTCGTTCGCTAGGTCTCTCTCGCTCGCTTGCTTTGTTATGCGATCGATTCAATTAAATAGGTTTAGCCGGACCATATATTCCTGATGGTTCAAATCTCTCTACTATATCCTTATGAAGAACAATTTTTTTTTATTATTATACTCATTCTCCTAATGAATTATGTCAAGCTTTCACCTAAAACACACTCAATAGATTATAAGAAAACAACCAATAAGTTTATTTATATTGTTGTGAAATATGTTAATAACATGTTGACATACTTTATATCCATTTTAAACAAAATTTATAAAAAAAATCTTATTAAGATCATTTATCTATAATAAAATAAATAAATAGAAAAAAAATAGAGGAAACCAAATAAAGCAAAGAAGGATCAATCAAGCAATAGTGATGAGAAGACTCTTATGCCCCTAATTTTAACCGCTCAAATATAATTTATTACAAAATTCTAAAACAAAATCATGCACCAAAATGCCCTTATTTTTATAAAAAGCCATATTTTACTCACCAATATTTTATGAAGAACAAATTTTAAAAGTCAACTGTTTGATGCACACAATTTGATCAAAATTTATAAAAAAATGATTTTTTTCCTCCTACATCGCTTAAACTTCGATGTTACTCTACAACCAGCCCTGCCTTACACACCACCATCTTCCTCGCTGGAATTCCATTAAAATACACCATAATAATGAACCAGAAAAACCACTCCACATGAAACAGAGCTCTGTCTCTCTCTCTCTCTCTCTCTCTCCAGTCAAATAACGCACAGAGTACATATATTGAAGAAAGCTTCTTCTCACCAAACCGTGAATTATCACCTAATCCACACCCAGGCTCGCTCTCTATATCCCCCGGCCCTTTTCGCCCCTCCTCCAACTGAACTCTCCTCGCCGGAAATATATAATTCCCCATGAAACCCGCCGGCCGGAAAATCATCGGTGGTGGCGGAAGCACCGGCGGCCTCTCCATCCTCGGCATCCTCGTCTTCATCTTCGTCTTCGCCATGTTCATCTACGGCGAAGACATCCGGGCCATCGCCAACCTCTCCTTCTTCTCCTCCTCCGAATCAGCTGAGTAAATCAGATGAAAACTCATAATAATAATAATAATAATAATTTTAATATAATTTAAAATTTAGGTATTACATAATAAAATTATTAAATTTATATACTAAATATATAAATAAATAAGAATTTAGGATATATTTGAGATAGTTTTCTAGCATCTTTATTTTCATATTATAACTATTATTTTATTTGATTATTATTTTTTCATTAATTTCTATAAAGTTTATGATGTGAGCTAGCTTTTTACGACTAGAGTTACTAATATGTAATTTCGTTTGGAATGGTCTTTTTACTGTTTCTTATAGCACTAAAAAGCTGATTTAAGAAGCAGTAAGATATCCGTCCCAATGTAAACTCAAATGTTTGATTTTTTTTTTAATAAAAAAAATGTTTGATTTTTTTTAAATGAATATATATTTATAAAATCACCACAGCTTAAAAAAAAGTAAATTTTTCTGACAACAACATCACAATTATATTTATAAAATTTTATAGCGGTCCCAAATAAACTCTAAATGATATGCATGTAAATATTCTGTATTTATTCCTTGAAAGAGAGAGAAATCTATTAGAATTAAAATAGTGTTAGCTTTAAAGGATGTGAGTGAGAAATGTATAATATTTTTATTTTTTTCCACTGCAAGATTTAATGGCAGGCTGCTTCTGGAGAGGCTGCGGGGGAAGCGGCTGATGTTCGTCGGCGATTCATTGAATCGGAACCAGTGGGAGTCCATGGTCTGTTTACTATACTCCGCCGTGCCGGACGGCGAGAAATCTCACGCCTGCAACGCCTCCCTCATCATATATCGAATCAAAGTAATTATATTTATACAGATCTTATGTGCAGTTCGTATATTTCTTTATTTGCGAAAGAAAAAAGTTTTTTTTTTCTATAAAAGCTTTATAAATCAGCAAAAATTAAAATTTTGTAATAAAAAAATACTTTCTACGATAATATTAAAAAAATATTTTCTCTATCACTGTTTTACAAATACACGTTCAGTTTCTGTGGAATAGTTAAAGGTTTTCTGTTTACCCAAAAAAAAAGGTTTTCTATTTATGATTTTAAAAGCTCATTTCTGAATCATAGTTTCAAAAATAACTTTTTAAAAGTAAAATAAGTTTAAAATAGAGGTGAAAATTTATCTTTTAAAAACACATTATTTTATTAATTATTTTCTTACCTAGAGAGCATCGGAGAAGTTGTCCAAATTAAAGTTTTATTTGGGATAAATTTTTTATTATTTTATAAATAGTTTAGTATAAAAAAATTTTTAACTAAAAATTTTTGTCCGGAAAATTTGGTACTTAAAAAATTACTTTAAAAAATAGTAAAAAAAATATCCAAACGAAGCCAAAGTCATTATTTTTCACTAAATACTTTTCTCATCAAAAAAATTGTCAAAAAAGTTAAAGTCTATTTGGGGAGAAATTATTTCGTGCCGACACCAGATAGTACGGAGACCAACTAGAATGCGCCACATCACCCAGTACACAGCTATATCGAGCACCGAGCAAAAAAATGATGTGACATGTTTTAGTTGGTCTCCAGACACCCTCCACAACGACAATTTCATTTAACAATTATTTTCTCCTTGCTTTCTACCATGGGCGGAACTATTAAGAGCTTAGGGGGGGCAATTGCCCCCCCTCAAAAAAAAAAAAATTTTTTTTTATAGGAGTAAAAATTTTTTTTAAAAAAACTTATAAGAGTAAAAAATTTTTTTGCCCCTCCTTAAATTTTTTTTTTGCCCCCCCTAAAAAATTCTTTTGTTCTCTTTTGTCCTAATTTGCCCTAAAATATCTATATATTTCTTCACATTTAGTTCTAATATTCTCTTTCATGCTTTTAATAACAGTTTAATTACACATTTTTTTTAATTTTTCTTGCTTAATTTTTTTAAAAAACTTTTCGTAATATATAAATATATAATATTATTATTTTTAAATATTTAATTATTTTTGTGCTGTATTTTTGCCCCCCCTCAAAGTTAAAGCCGGTTCCGCCCCTGCTTTCTACAAATCTTTACGACAACAATTATTAGAATTACTAATATATGGTAGCTTTAAGAAAACAACTATGTGATCTTTTTAAAAATAACATATTTCAACTACACCAGCTTTCAAAAAAGTCTTTTTTCTCATAACATCTTCATAATCACTTCTACAAAACGCTGCAACTATCCCAAACAGATCCTCACCTTCAAATAACGTGATGCATATACAGGAATACAACGCGACGGTAGAGTTCTACTGGGCTCCGTTTCTGGTAGAATCCAACTCCGACGATCCACTGGCTCACAGCATCACAGATCGGATCGTAATGGCCGATTCAATCGAGAAGCATTCGCAGCACTGGAAAGGAGTTGATTACTTGGTATTTAATACGTATATTTGGTGGATGAACACAGCTAAGATGAAAGTCCTGTGAGTTCTCTAATGACTTATTAGCGATTAATTAGTTTTTAATTAGCAGGAAGATGGCTGATGAATTGCTGTATTTCGACAGACGTGGATCGTTCGATGAGGGGTCGAAACTGTATGATGAGATCGAACGGGTGACGGCGTACGAGAGGGTGTTGAGGACGTGGGCTCGGTGGGTGGAGGCTAACGTGGATTCGGAGAAAACCTCCGTTTTCTTCAATAGCATGTCCCCTCTTCATATAAGGTATAGAGTTTTTTTTTTAAAATAAATTTCTTACTATTTTTTAAATTAATTTTTTAGTGAAAAATATTTGATCCTAAAATTTTTATATTAAAAAAAATACTTTAAAAAGTAGTAAGAAAATTATCCAAAATATAACTTTTTGAGGGTCTATTATAATATTTTTAATGATTGAATTTTTTCGGGCACCCATAACAGCTCCGTTTAATTATATTATTATTATTATTTTAAAAATATTATCATTAATGAAAGTTATAAAAATTATTAGATTTTTTCATGTATATTATAAAAAAATATATTTTTTAGAATTGAGCGGTTAAAGATCTCTTTGAGATTGTTTTCTCATTGCTTTGTTTATCTGATCACAATCACAACTTTGTTTGGTTATTATTTTTTTTTGTTGTTTTCTCGTTGCTTTTTAAAATTTTTTATGATGGGAGGTTTTTATAATCATAGTTGCTAATATGTGGTAGCATTAATAAAATAATTATTTAGTATTATAATATTCACAACAATTTTCATAAAATAATTTTGTCATAGCAGCTTCACAATCACTTTTATAAAATAATGCAGAATTCCAAATATATCATAAGAAAGATAATTGAATAATACAATGTGATTTGATCTACAAAATCCTTTAAATGCTAAAATTTTAGTTTTAAATGTAAAATCTCTAGATCTCATTTGACATTTTCATTGAAAAAAATTATGTCATGATATTTTGATATGAAATGTATGAGGATGAGCTTAAAGTTTTTTTAATATATGCTGAGATTAGTACAATTTAAAATAATAATAATACTAATCTCAACATAAATTAAAAGATTTTAAAACCCACCCTAATATATTTTACATAAAAATGACTAATTATATTTTTTTTTTGCAGATGTATTAATTGTCATTATCATAATGAAATAGATCCTAGGAAATCTTTTGCACCTTTTTTTTTTGCATTGATGATTTGGCCCCATATTATTTATTTAGAGCTTCGGCTCTCACTGCAATTTAAATTAAATAAGAATGCACTTAATAATAGTATTTATTTTAAGATTAGTGTAACATATATTTTTTCAGCACTAATCTTAAGGTAAATAAAATAATTTTAAAATTATTATAATATAATTTATATTAAAATATCTTAATATATTTTTTCTACAATAAATGGTGAAATTTATTGAAATTTACATATCTGATTTGCCTTTAAATATAAGTTAGAATTTATTGACAAAGGTAACTGAATTAGTAGAATGTTTACGTTAGCCAATTACGACTTGAATTGGAGCCTTATACACAAATCCATCCCTAACAAATTTGTATTTACAAAAACAAAAAGAAGAATTAAAAAAAAAAGGAATTTTACAACTACGAACCAAGAAAATGAAAGCATGCAAAATTTGAATTTACAAAGGGTCGTCCAGCAAAAAATAGCGCAAATAAATATTAATTAATACGTAAGAATCCACTCATTAAACAGAATTGTACGCAAAGCCAGCATTGGCTACCTATCTGTCATTTGATAGCTTAGTATTACCTAAATAAAATGGGTGACGCCATGATTTTGGCTACGAATAATTAATTAGAGCTTATCTGATAGTTGCGGTTTGGTGAACCACTCCCGTTATATAATATTTTAATTATTTAAACCACCATATTAATTAATTACAAGCTTAATTACTTCTCATAACCACTAATTAGTCAATGTAGTTAGATACTAATGATTTTTTTTTTGTCTTTATGGAAGGCCGGTCGATTGGGGTAATCCTGGCGGGATTAAATGTTCAAAGGAGAAGCTGCCGATACTGGATCGGATCGGTCCAATTAATGTGGGCACAGATTGGCGAATGCATGTGGTGGCAGCCAACCTGACCCAATCAGTCCGCGGGCCGGCGGTGGGCTTTCTAGATATCACCGGGCTGTCAGAATATCGAAAGGATGCGCACACGTCGGTGCACACTATTCGACAGGGAAAGATTTTATCGCCGGAGCAGAAGGCCGAACCGTTAGTATACGCTGATTGCATACATTGGTGTCTACCGGGTCTGCCTGATACCTGGAATGAGCTACTCTATGCCCGAATTGTGTCGAGCCCATGGCGTGGATGAAGTTGGCCCGACCCGAGCTTGATCGGGTCGGACGCACGTGCTATTTTGCTTCTTCCAATTTATATTTTGATTAATGCCAATATTTGTTTTTTTTTATGTTTTACTTGTTTGTTGATTTTTTTTTTTTAATTAAATTTTGAAGTGCATAATTTTAAGAGGTGGGGGACAAGTGGGTTGGTTGACTTGAGTGTAGGATGGAGCTAATGGAAGGTCAAGATGGCCCTATATTGTATAGCTTTGATTTGTAAATGGAGAAGAAAAGTTGTGGGAATTTTAGTTTAGCCGTTCTTGTACATCCATAAATATTGGGTTATATATATATATATATATTATTTGAATAATCAATTAATATTTATATTAGACTTATCATAGTCTATGCAAATATGGAGATCTTATATACAAACCAATAAACTTTCTTTCAGTCCACTGAAAAATATATAAATTTTATATCGCACCATGATTTTAGGAACTTTTTGTCCTCTTCAGAGATATATTTGAGGGCTTCTTCTCTCTCTCTCCTATGAGTTGTCAATAAATATTGACATCCAAGACTTAAAAGATAGATAGCTACTTTTAATGGATTGGGTGGAGTAAATTAATGACGCATGAATTTGCAGGCTAATTTCCTTTTTCCTGATAGATCTATGAAATTTCAAATCAAATCTTTTTTACTCTTATGTAACCTTCATTTTTGTTGGATTAATTATTCATCACTCTTATGTATATTAGTAGAAAATTGGGTTCTCAGCCTCCCTATCTAGAGGTACATGGTAAGAGATAGACTTACATCCCTTGTATTCTCAGTCTCCCTTTCTGGAGGCACAATGACAAGAGATGGGGTTACGTCCCTTGCCTTCTTGACCTCTCTATTTGAAGGCATAATGACAAGAGATAGATTATATCTCCTGCCTTCTCAGCCTTTCTATCTAATGGCTCATTAGTAAGAGATGGAGTTACGTCCATAATATCATGTATCTCCTTCTTCTTCTCCATCTCCTCCACCTCTGCCCCATGCTTCTCGTTATCCTCTTCTTTATCTATAAGCCTTTGGGCAATAATTATTAGAGCATCTAATTTTAGCTTTAATTTTTTGGGTTAGTATCAAGCTCAACTTGCCCACTCAACTTCATTGTAATGTTTAAAACTACTTCAACGATACTATCTTCTTAGTTGGTTGTTTTTTTATGCATCCCATGCTCTCTCCTAAAAATGAATGGAGTTAATTTTCTTTTTATAGTTATAACTATGACAAGTTAAGGAGTATGTACAATGAACTTGTAACGCCTCAAAATCAAATTAGAAGAATTATTTATTTTAATTAATCAACCAGAGCTTTTATAAATAATCAAAATAATAAATTTATATAACCAACGAAAGCAACTAACAATTATATACCTCAAAATATTGCACTATATTCATTCTCCCAAAATCAACATACAATGACTAGAAGATAAATACAATTACTAATCTATCACAAGCTCCTGACCACAAAATAATAAAAAAAAACAGAACAAAAGTTAAAGCAGAACTTGACGATATGTATCAATATCACTGCTCACAATCCTGAACCCTTCCCTGACATAAAATCATTAAAATACCTATAATGAGCATAAAAGCTCAGCAAGTAACCAAAACTCTATCACTATTTTCAATACAGGACTAAAAAATCAATATGTATATTTCAGTTTTAATCAATATCCATTATTAGTTCATATGAGTATTAAAAATATTAAAAAAATCAATAATAAAATCAATTTGATCAGCGCATTCAAAAGAGATCAATCAAACTATAAGACATACGGTTAAAAACTATCATCCAATGAATCATGTCAGCATGTTATGCTATATTATATCAGTACAATTTCAATTTTATCTATCAACAATCAATTAAATGTACTATCATGTAAATGCAATTATGAATATAATTATAAAAAACAAGGAAATAATCTAACTTTAATGTGATGTTTTCTTTCGTACATATATCTATTATTTGTCATAACTATCCATTTGTCAATTTCATCTTATCTTTCATTTATTTCTATTAATCATTTATTTTCGCAGGTGACTTTCAATAATCATTTAAGAGTCACAATTCTCTATTCGTCGGTGTAATTCAATTAATCAGTTACAGACTACAATTAGGATTACACTACAAACCGTTTATTTAAAGAAAAATCCATCAGCCCACCATCTTATGTAGAGTATTATATTTTAATAGTCAATTCATATTTATTATAATGTTAACAATCATCATTTCTCGCTTACATGCAAATGCTATCTTTTTTATCACTATCATTTATGAAATGTAATAATTCATAAAAAAACAAGAAAAATGATCAAATTTAACTACTATGCATTTACTTAAAAAAAATCATATATTTCAATTTAACCGATGAAAATTCAATATATTTATATCAAAATACTCATATTGATAGAATTTATCACATATCAAAAATTATGAGGTGAAAATTTTATCAATATAAAATTATCATTGTTTTTCAAAAACATAAATATAAATTTGATCAGAAAAATATCAAAAATATAAAATTATTGAAATCAAAACTAGGATGATCTCTACAAAATCAAGGAGAAGTGGTCAACTGCATTCAACAAAGATTGTTTTAATCTTGGCATTTTATCAACCCAACGTAGTGAGTCAACCAATGTATGCCATGGCTATTCCAAGCCAACAAGTACTATCACGGAGTGCTTCCTCGGTTTGGAGAAGGTTATGAGGATTTGACGTCGAAATGAACAAGATGAAGAATTCAGATGTAGTCAAACTGACATAGTTCCATATATGAAAAGTAGCCCAGTATTGAAGCAAGCTGCAAAATTTTATTCAAGGAAGTTGTATGCATTTTTTTAAAGAGGAGTTCTTACATGGACTTGGTGGATTATGCGTGAAAAATACTTCATCAGATTTATCAAGGTTTTCTGTTTGGAACATTGACAGCTCCACTGATTCACACAAATGGATTGTCAAATTTAGTTCAATTGAAGGTACCATTGAATGCACCTGTGCTAAGTTCGAAATGATGGAAATATTATATACACATTGCATGAGAGTAATGAGACAGTTAGACATTATTAATATTCCCATTAAATATTTACTCCCAAGATGACCTCTGCCCCATGCTTCTCGTTATCCTCTTCTTTATCTATAAGCCTTTGGGCAACAATTATTAGAGCATCTAATTTTAGCTCTAATTTTTTGGGTTAGTATCAAGCTCAACTTGCCCACTCAACTTCATTGTAATGTTTAAAACTACTTCAACGATACTATCTCCTTAGCTGGTTGTTGTTTTTTTATGCATCCCATGCTCTCCCCTAAAAATGAATGGAGTTAATTTTCTTTTTATAGTTATAACTGTGACAAGTTGAGGAGTATGTACAATGAACTTGTAATGTCTCAGAATCAAATTAGAATAATTATTTATTTTAATTAATCAATTAGAGCTTTTATAAATAGTCAAAATAATAAATTTATATAACCAACAAAAGCAACTAACAATTACATACCTCAAAATATTTCACTATATTCATTCCCCCAAAATCAATATACAATGACTAGAAGATAAATACAATTACTAATCTATCACAAACTCCTAACCACAAAATAATAATAATAAAAAAGCAGAACAAAAGTTAAAGAAGAACCTGACGATTTGTATCAATATCACTACTCACAATCCTGAACCCTTCTCTGACATGAAATCATTAAAATCCCTATAATGAACATAAAAGCTCAGCAAATAACAAAAACTCTATCATTATTTTCAATACAGGACTAAAGAATCAATATGCATATTTCAATTCTAATCAATATCAATTATTAGTTCATATGAGTATTAAAAAATATTAAAAAAATCAATAATAAAATCAATTTGATCAGTGCAGTCAAAAGAGATCGATCAAACTATAAGACATACGGTAAAAAAACTATCATCCAAGGAATCGTGTCAGCATCTTATGCTATATTATATAAGTACAATTTCAATTTTATCTATCAATCAATTCAATGTACTATCATGTAAATGTAATTATTAATATAATTATAAAAAATAAGGTAATATAATCTAACTTTAATGTGATATTTTCTTTCATACATATATCTATTATATGTCAAAGCTATCCATTTGCCAATTTCATCTTATCTTTCATTTATTTCTATTAATCATTTATTTTCACATGTGACTTTTAATAATCATTTAAGAGTCATCACTCTCTATCCGTCAGCATAATTCAATCAGTCAGTTACAGCCTACAACTAGGATTATACCACAAACTTTTTATTTATAGAAAAACCAATCGGTCCACCCTCCTGTATAGGGTATTATATTTTAAGAGCCAACTTGTATTCATTATAGTGTTAACAATCATCATTTCTTGCTTACATACAAATGCTATCTTTTTTTATCACTATCATCTCTGAAATGTAGTAATTCATAAAAACAAGAAAAATCATCAAATTTAACTACTATGCATTTACTTCAAAAAATCATATATTTCAATTTAACCGATGAAAATTCAATATATTTATATCAAAATGCTCATATTGATAAGATTTATCACATATCAAAAATTATGAGGTAAACGTTTTACTAATATAAAATTATCCTTGTTTTTAAATAACAGAAATATAATTTTGATCAAAAAATATAAAAAATATAAAATTATTGAAATCAAAACTACGATAATGATTCCTTACAACAAGATGAGAAAATTTTATAATAGGGCTAAAAGACGAAAATTACTCAATAACCTCCAAATCTGGGCTTCACTCTTATTTTCTCATTACAATTGTCACTTAGCCGAAATTAGGAAATGAGGAAAGGAATTGAATAAAGTTATATAATGCTTTTAGATATTTAGGATTAAAATAAATATATAATATTATTTAATTATAAAATTTAATCAATTGTCAATATAAAATTCATATAATTTTTTTGGAGCTTTAAATATTTTTTAAAAAATATATTCATAAATTAGCTTATTTTATTTAAAAATACTTGTAAAATCAGTTTGCAAACAGATACATGATAATCCTAAAATCCCCACTTGTACCGATAGGTGTTAATTTCTTAAGGATTTGCACAAGTGCTTAAAAATTACAAAAAACTTATTATAATTAAAACACAATAATATCTATCTTATGGCAAAGACGATTTTCAAAATTAACTTAAAATATCTTCTTAAAAAATTATTTATTTGGATCAAAATATAGATTATTACAGAACTAGTTGAAGTATTGCTAACTTATTATATAGGGTTAAACACA